CACTTTGGTAGGCTGAGGTGGGTGGATCACGAGGTCGGGAGTTCGAGACCAGCCTGACCAACACAGTGAAACCCTCTCTAGTAAAAATACAAAAATTAGCTGGGCATGGTGGTGGGCATCTCTAATCCCAGCTATTTGGGAGGCTGAGGCAGTATAATCGTTTGAACCTGGGAGGTAGAGGTTGCGGTGAGCCGAGATCATGCCACTGCACTCCAGCCTGGGCGACAGAGCAAGACTCTGTCTCAAAAAAAAAAAGAGTACTTATTTCATAGGTCAATAAAGACAGTTAAATGGGATAATAAACTGCCTTGTACATATTAAGTGACCAATAAGTGGTAGTTATTATTATTATTATTTCTTTTTTTTTTTTTTTGAGACAGAGTTTCGCTCTCGTTACCCAGGCTGGAGTGCAATGGCGCGATCTCGGCTCACCGCAGCCTCCGCCTCCTGGGTTCAGGCAATTCTCCTGCCTCAGCCTCCTGCGTAGCTGGGATTACAGGCACGTGCCACCATGCCCAGCTGATTTTTTGTATTTTTAGTAGAGACGGGGTTTCACCATGTTGACCAGGATGGTCTCGATCTCTTGACCTTGTGATCCACCTGCCTCGGCCTCCCAAAGTGCTGGGATTACAGGCGTGAGCCACCGCGCCCGGCCCTATTATTATTATTTCTTAATCCCATAGTTTACCCCCATCCTTATCCCTGACAAAAACCTCCCCAACAAACTACAGCATAGATTTACATGCATTCATTCAGATCTGGTCACTTTTACAGAAAGGAGGAGGCGCTGTGAGGAGGTGATAACAAAGTTCCAGGTTTTCTGCCTGCTTCAATATTTCCTGGTTGGCATAGCATCTACTCTCAGTAGGAACAGAGCTCAATTTTCCTAAGAGAGTCGAATCACCTGTCCAGAAGTACAAACACTGCTAGGTTCTGAGCCTTCAGGGTAATGGGAGAGGAGGGAGCCTTACCTTTAGTTTGTTATACTTTCAACTCCCCACTGTCATCTTACTTTTAGGTCTGGCCCCTTTGTGAACCAACTTCTACCTAGTCGAGAAGAATTACATTAGCAGTCGGGGGGTGGGGAAGGATGCTTTTCAAATCCAAGTGGATATCTGGACATCCCTTAGGCAAGATGGCTTTGTATGAGCATCACTGTTAAACTGAAAGGAAAGGAAAAGTCTCCCCCATTTTTTTTCCAAAAGGTATAGAGTGCCCAAAATACTTTAGAGATGGCAGTTGCTGATCTTGGAAACGAGACTTGTCCCTAGACGGAAGACAAGGGAGGTGTGGGAGGAGCCTTCCTAACTCCACTGAGTGTAAGATCACTCTCTCCTCTTCCCCTGACCTGAGCTGGCTTATTTCTTGGAAGAGATACAGGTCTGGGGAGTCAAAATGACCACCCTGTACTAAGCAGCCTTCTTTGAACTCCAGCTAAACAGTAACAGCAGCTAAGATAGGATCTTACCACCCTCACTCCCCACCTCAAAGTGGAGGTGAAGAGGGAGGTAGGGGAAAGGGAGAGAAACGCCCCAGGAAAGATCTGCTGTCAACAGGGAGGACTCACAGCTGGCTGGGAGAATTCACAGGAAGCACCAGTTTTCACCTTTTTTCCACATAGCTGTTGCTTATTTGCCTACGATGAGTGTGTTCCTCTTGAGACTGCAATGGCAGACTAGCTCAGTGGTTAACAGTGTAGGCTTTGGATCCCAGCCTTACTCCCTCGTGAACTTGTGCATACCACGTAACCCTTCTGAGCTTCATCTTCCTCATCTGTTTTGAGGGTAAGAATGGTGCCGACCTCATCTACCTGCAGCAAAGGCTGAATTTGTTTAGTGTAAATGCAGAGCTGGACCCATAATAAGTACTCTCAATAATGCTAAGGTGCCATGTTTATCATTCTTCAAGCATCCCTTCAGAATCTGTGCAGAGCGTGGAAGGCCTGATTAGAACCATAAAAGCCAGTCCAGGGCCAGGCGCGGTGGCTCCCACCCTTAATCCCAGCACTTTGGGAGGCCGAGGCAGGCAGATCACTTGAGGCCAGGAGTTCCAGACCAGCCTGGCTAACATGGCAAAACCTTGTCTCTATTAAAAATATAAAAATTGGGCCAGGCATAGGTGACTCACGCCTGTAATCCCAGCACTTTGGGAAGCCAAGGCAGGCAAATCACGAGGTTAGGAGTTCGAGACCACCCTGGCCAACATAGTGAAACCCCGTCTTTACAAACAATACAAAAAATTAGCTGGGCATAGTAGCAGGTGCCTGTAATCTCAGCTACATGGGAGGCTGAGGCAGGAAAATTGCTTAAACCCGGGAGGCGGTGGTTGCTGTGAGCTGAGATCCTGCCACTGTACTTCAGCCTGGGCAACAGAGTGAGACTAAATAAATAAATAAATAAATAAGCCAGGTGTGATGGCGCACGCCTGTAGTCCCAGCTACTCGAAAGGCTGAGGCATGATAATCACCTGAACCGGGGAGGTAGAGGTTACAGTGAGCCAAGATCACGCCACTGCACTCCAGCCTGGGCGACAGTGAAACCATCACAAAAAAAGCCAGTCCAGATATGTTTCCGTATTTCATATTTCCTGTGATTACTGTAAACATAAAAATCAGCCGGGGTCATGGAACCTCAATAGCCCCTCGATCTGTATAGCTAATGATGAACAGGGACAGGAAGAGAGTTCGTACAGAATTTTTTGGTTCGTACAACAGGCTTTACAGAGAGGCTCCACGTGCAAGCACAGCACACGTCTGTATGTTCCCAGCCTTCTGAGAACTGTCACTGCCAAATCTTTTCACCCTCCCCACCCAATCTCACCCCCAGGCAAGGTGACACTCTCAAAGTTGGCACAGCAGGCAGCACATGCAGGGCCTGTGACCTGGGCTCAGCAGCTCTGCTCACTTGCATGGCAATTGCTTTCTGCAGTCAAGCCCATCTGCAGTTTGGATTTCCCCACCCCCCACCCCCAATCACCACACAGGAACTGGCTGCTTCTCTTCTCTCTGTCTAAGCTGAATACTAACCTACTGTGGTTTGCTTGCTTCCCCCACGGTGATCGCAGGCTTTCTGAGCAGCTAGTCAGACCCCTGGTCTGCCGCTGAAATGGGAGGTATTCACGCTGGAGGGGATCAAGGGGAGCTTGTAGGCTTGCTGTGCTGGCGGGCAGCTGCCTCCATCCACTTGTACCAGTGTCCCCGAGGCAGAGCCCGGGCACTTCCCAGCTGTATGAGGACAACTATTTGGGTCCCAACTATGCCAAGAAAAACATGGGTCATGTGGTTCACAGGACAGAAAGGCCCATTTACTCCAATATGATTGGCATTTTTTTTGTCTGATTATTGGAGATTTGCCAAAAGACTGAAGCCTCCTGCCACCACCACCTCCCCCACATATATGTCCTCAGATGGTTTGGGAATTCGACACCTTAGTCATCAGGTCATGTCCTCCACATCCACAGAAGATACAGGTTGTTTCCAGATAACATGCAGAAGGTTCTGAGCTCCTTCCTGTGTGCTCCGGCTCGAAGACTCTTTTCTTTTCCCTATGAATTTTTTCCCTTTTCTTACTCTGTTCTCTCCTTTCTTTTTTTTTTTTTGGGACGGAGTTTCGCTCTTGTTACCCAGGCTGGAGTGCAATGGCGCGATCTCGGCTCACCGCAACCTCCGCCTCCTGGGTTCAGGCAATTCTCCTGCCTCAGCTTCCTGAGTAGCTGGGATTACAGGCACGCACCACCATGCCCAGCTAATTTTTTGTATTTTTAGTAGAGACGGGGTTTCACCGTGTTGACCAGGATGGTCTCGATCTCTTGACCTCGTGATCCGCCCGCCTCGGCCTCCCAAAGTGCTGGGATTACAGGCTTGAGCCACCGCGCCCGGCCTGTTCTCTCCTTTCTAATAAATGGACTGCACTCATATTCATAAATGAAATTAAAGAAAAATTAAGTATTCTTTTGAGTAGGTAACACATGCACACGATATAGAATCCAAAAGGTGCAACGAGTATATGTTGAAAACTAAGCCTTTCTAACCTTTGTCCTTAGCCACCCAGCTCTCCTGTGAGTTAATACTGTTGTTAGCAGTTTCTTACCTGTATCTTTCCAAAGATGGTCTATGCAAAGATCCACATAAACTTGTATATTTATGTTCTGTTTTTAGGTCAGCAACAGCACACTACACACACTCTTCTGTGCCCTGTTTTTTTCCACCTGAAAATGTATCTTGGCTGGGCGTGGTGGCTCATGCCTGTAATCCCAGCACTTTGGAAGGCGGAGGCAGGTGGATCACTTGAGTTCAGGAGTTCAAGACCAGCTTGGCTAACATGGTGAAACCCCATCTCTACTAAAAATACAAAAATTACCCGCGTGTGGTAGTGGGCACCTGTAATTCTAGCTACTTGGGAGGTGGAGGCAGGAGAATCGCTTGAGCCTGGGAGATAGAGGTTGAAGTGAGCCAAGATCATGCCATTGCACTCCAGCCCGGGTGACAAGAGTGAAACTCCATCTCAAAAAAAAAAGAAAAAAATATATATCTTGGAAATGATACAACATCTGTCCTGATAGAGCTGCCCATATTTTTCATTTATTTGTTTGTTTGTTTGTTTGTTTGTTTATTGAGATGGAGTTTTGCTGTTGTTGCCCAGGCTGGAGTGCAATGGTGCGATCTTGGCTCACGGCAACCTCCATCTTCCATTTTCAAGCGATTCTCCTGCCTCAGCCTCCCAGGTAGCTGGGACTACAGGCATGCGCCACCACGCCCAGCTGATTTTTTGTATTTTTGTTAGAGACGGGGTTTCTCCATGTTGGTCAGGCTGGTCTTGAACTCCCAAAGTGCTGGGATTACAGGCGTGAGCCACTGCACCCAGCCATATTTTTCATTAATAACATGGTATTCCACAGTATGATACGTTATTTATTTAACTAGTCCCCAGTTGGTGGACATGTAGATTATTTCCAGTATTCTGCTAGTACTAACAGTGCTGTAACAAATCTCCTTGTAACATACATGTTTCATGCACATGCAAATAGATCTGTAGGATAAATCAGGGGTCTCCAACCCCTGGTCCATGTCCTGTTAGGAACCAGGCTGGGCCACACAGCCCGAAGTGAGCATTATGGCCTGAGCCCCACTTCCAGTCAAATCAGTGGCAGCATTAGATTCTCATAGGAGTGCAAGCCCTATTGTGAACTGTGGGTGCAAGGGACCTGGGTTGCACACTCCTTATGAGAATGTAATTCCTGATTATCTGAGGTGGAACAATTTTATCCCAAAACCATTCCCCCAAACCCCTGTCTGTGGAAAAATGGTCCTCCACGAAACAGGTCCCTGGTGCCAAAAAAGTTAGGGACCGCTGGGATAAATTCCTAGGATTTTTGCTTTGGTCAAAGGGCATATGTGTTTTACATCTTGATAAACATTGTTCAGTTATTTCAGTACTCATGGAAAGATTGAACAACCAAAATATTGCCTCTGTTGGAGCACCTCTGAGGAGTTTATCACAGGAATAAACAAACACTTTGCTTTTTTTTTTTTTTTTTTTTTCTTTTTGAGATGGAGTCTTGCTCTGTCACCCAGGCTGGAGTGCAGTGGCACAATCTCCGCCCACTACAACCTCTCCCTCCCGGGTTCAAGCAATTCTCCTGCCTCAGCCTCCTAAGTAGCAGGGATTACAGATGCCTGCCACCATGCCCGGCTAACTTTTGTATTTTTTTAGTAGAGATGGGGTTTCACCATGTTAGCCAGGCTGGTCTCAAACTCCTGACCTCAGGTGATCTATCTGACTCAGCCTCCTGAAGTGCTGAGATTACAGGCGTGAGCTGCCGCACCTGGCTCAAGTGCTTTGCTTCTAAGTCTTTGTTCTTTATTTGTATCTACTGGGCATTTGTTCTTTCTTTCCTTTAATATGTAGTAAGCACCTCTACTGTGCACCAGGTAAGCTTTGAGGCCAAAACCATAAACATAACAAATGTGGCTGCTGCCCCCACAGTATTTACAGTCTAGGAGATGGAGCAGATGGGGGCAGGAGTACACATGAAAGAAATAATTATACAGTCAATCATTATAAACTGTGTTAAGTGCCGTGAAGGAGAAGTACAGGTTGACTGAAAGTATTCAGTAGGCTCCTGACTTCGTGTGGGGGGGGGTCTCAGAAGACTTCCCTGGGGAAATGATGTTTATCCTGATCAATAAGATAGACTTAGCAAGGCTGAGGAAATGGCAAGTTTGAAGTCCTGGAGGAAGGATGGAGCACGGATTCCAGCCAGCAGCATGGATTACAGGATCTGGAAAGGGTCTTCAAAGTCATTTTGTTTCAGTCCCATTTGACATGTGAGGAAACGAAAGTTCAAGGACCTAAATGACTTGACCAGGGTTATACAGATAGTGACAAAGTCAGGCCGGGCTGCTCTGATTGTTTCAGATGATGCCAGGCTGCAGAATCCAGTGTGCTCTTCCCAGGAGCTGTGGGTCTAGACTAGACAGCTATGGGATAGTTGCCTGGGTTTGTGTAGGAGGAGTTAAGTTCTGGTTCTTTTGACAAGCTGCCTGATATGTTTCATGTAAGATAAAGTTTGGATGAATGGCCATTCCAATCTAGTAGGTTGGTTTGGTCTTCAGTACACTTGTTTTTCTTGTAAATTTAAATAATAATAACAATAATGGTTGTTAATTCTTTAGCGCTTGCTGTATGTCAAATACTGTTCTAACCAGTTTACATGTGTTAAATCATTTCATTTTGACAGCAGTTCTATAAGGTAGGTATTATTTATTACCCCATTTTACAGATGAGGAAATTGAAGCTCCAGAAGGTAAAGGCACTTGCCAGCCATCACAGAGCTAGTGAGTGGCAAAGCGGGGACTTGGTCCAAACAGTCTAGCTTCAGGACCCATGTGCTTTCTCCCCCAGGCACTCTCAGTTTCAGCAGCGGGCTGATGGACTCAGGTTTGAGCCCAGAGCTGCCTTGTGCCATGGAAGGTCCACATCAGTGGCTCTCAACCCTGGCTGCACATCAGAATCAGCTGGGAAGCTCATGAAAAGTGCTAATGTCAGCTGGGCGCAGTGGCTCATGCCTGTAATCCCAGCAGTTTGGGAGGCCAAGGTGGGTGGATCACCTGGGGTCAGGAGTTCGAGACCAGCCTGACCAACATGTGAAACCCCATCTCTACTAAAAATACAAAAATTAGCTGGGCGTGGTGGTACATGCCTGTAATCCCAGCTACTTAGGAGGCTGAGGCAAGAGAATCACTTGAACCTGGGAGGCGGAGGTTGTGGTGAGCCAAGATGGTGCCGTTGCACTCCAGCCTGGGCAACAATAGTGAAACTCCATCTCAAAAAAAAAAAGTGTTAATGTCCAGGCCTCACCCCAGTTCAGTTAAATTGCAGTCTCTAGGGGTGGATCCCAGTCGCTGAGGATTTTTAAAAGCTTCCGTGGTCAGCCTAATGCAGCTTAGGGTTAAGAAGTACTGGAATCTGGCCTTGTCATTCCTTTGCCCTTTGGGAGCAACCAGCAACCCATACTTGCCTTTGTGTTCTGGACACCCACTTAGTAGGACACTTGTAGAGGCACTTATTCATACCACACCACAGACTCCTGTCTCGGGATAAAGAACTCATGCAGTATACATGCTGTGGCAGCCACATCCACCAATGATGTGTAGTAACAAGTCTGTAAAAGGCAAAGAGAGTATTTTCAGTCCTGAGCATCAGGAGACAGTGTACCTTAGTGGGGTGCAGCTTGGCTCTGAGTCAAACAGACCCAGATTCAAGTTGATGTGTTTTATCATGGTCTGTAATTTTAGAGACTGGTGTTTATCCTCTCACAGACTCCATTTTGTCATCTATTTAATCAAGCTAATATGATAATACTACCTCTTTCATGAGGCTTTTGTGAGGATTAAATGAGATAGTACATAGAAAGCCCTCAGTCGCCTTTAATCCCAGCACTTTGGGAGGCCCAGGTGGACAGATCACCTGAGGTCAGGAGTTTGAGACCAGCCTGGACAACATGGTGAAACCCCATCTGTAATAAAAATGTAAAACTTAGCTGGATGTGGTGGAGGTCAGCTGTAATCTCAGCTACTCAGGAGGTGAGGCAAGGTGAGACCTTAGATCCCTCTTTGGGAAAGGAAAGTATATGCTCCTTTGAGGAGGCAAGGGGCTAGGAGTAGTTGGCGGTCATGTTATCCCCCGTGGGATTCCATTTTTAACTTGACCCAGATTGTCTTGGGCTCCCTTTGCTTTCAGGGGGCTGCTTCCCTGGGCCAGGCTGTGTAGCACTTCCTACCCCCAGGCATGAATACAGACTGGCCAAAATGATTATCCACTCAAGGCCAAAGCCTGCCCTGAGCCCAGGCACACCTGAGTCCCTTAACAATCTCTTCCTCAGCCAGCACAGGGAAATCCAGACTCAGGGTTCCAGAAATCCCCCATTCCCCGGCCAAACCAATCATGGATCTTCCCTTTAAGGGGTAGAATCAGCCTTTCGAGTTACAAGCCCCTGGAAAGGGAAGCAGGTCCCTGTACAATCAGCCTTCCTCCTCCCTCTTCTTGGAACAGGAAGAAGGGCTGAACAGTCCCTCTTCCCCACTCCTGGCTGTCTGAGTGGGCACTTGTCTGGCTGCTGGCCAGCAGTGAAGAGCCACTTAGAGAAGTGACATGGCCTGGAGGAGATTCGGGGTACCTTTCCTCAGTGAGCTTTGATAGGGTCCAAAAACAGCCTTAAATCAAGAATATTTGTGGTCGAGGTGGGCATGGGAAAGGCTGGAGAAGAGTTAGGTTTGTGCTTTGTAATCTTGGCATCCATGTTTTATGCCTGCCCTCCCTCTTTGGGGAGGCCGTGCTTCGCTCTGCCGAAAGCTGCTAACTGGTGACAGGGTGGATCATGGTGAGGGCTAGGGATAAGGTCAGGGAACTCTTAAGCTCTGGCCCTGCCCTCTATTCCTCTTCTCCTTTGGTAGCAGTTCCCTGACCTGCTACCAAACACAAGGGAACGCTGTATCTCAGGAAGGCAGCTCCTGTGCGTGCCTGGCTGTGGTTAAGGCATGGCCCAGAAGGCTTCCCTGGTACTGTCAGTCCAGGCAAAGCCCAGAACATCTGAGCGCATATCTAACTTCCAGCGGCAACAGGTTGCTCAGAGTTTGAGTGTGGTGAAACAGGGTGTATTCTTTTCCACAATCTGTGTCATCTAGTCGTGCAGGTAGGGAAAAGTTAGTCTAATTGAAGATTGTGCAGTTCCTAGTGACAGGCGCCAAGAGGTTATGATACGGGTTTCTTGGGTCTGATGTACAGTGTGAATAAATGGTTGCCGCTCCTAGCCCTTTTTTGATCAATGAAGCACTTTTTTATTAATATTTTCTTATGTTAAAGGAGGAGCCGTAACTCTCCGTAGCTGTACATGTAACACTTTTCTCCTAAAGAGGAGTCAGTCAGTGCTCCTATATTTTTAATTTCTTTGTCAAAGCAAGTAAATACTTTAGAATTTTTAAATGTATAAATAAAGTGAATAAACTTGAGTGTTCCGTAAAGACACACACACACACACACACACACACACACACACACACACACGTGCCTCGGCCTCATCCAATCTGCGAAGGCCTCAAAAGAAAAGACGGCTGTTTACTCACATAAGCCACCCCGCCCTGCCCAGCCTCGCCTCCCTACTTTTTCTAGCCAGCACCCCCAAAGCAGTGGCTTCTCACAGGAAAGGACGAGTGGGGAGCACAGCTGAGATGACTCTTGATGACAAGATGCTGCAGCTGGCCTGCTGTAAAGTTGTGGGTGTGTATCCAGAATGCCTGATGCCCTGTGGGGGTCTTTACCAAGGAGATGCTGGTTTGACCCAGGCCTCGTTTCCCTAGGAGCAGCAGGAGCTGAGGCACAGGGACTCCCCCAACCCCTTCTGGCCAGCGAGCTGCTCCTATGATGTCACCCTCTGTCCACTGTGACAAGGACAGACATATTGTGCAGAAAACTCTGGGCCGCAGCAGTGCCCCGTCTCCAGGAGGAGGCAAAACTAAGGCGGTAGAAGCAGGAGAGCAAGGGGACAGATGCTCTGAAGCTCTCTCCATCTTCCTCCCCAAATGCCAGGTGACAGGAAGGACGGGGAAAATGCAAAGTAAATGTGTGCTATGACACCCATGTGTGACACAAGCCAAAAATTCTAAGTGGATTCACGAGCCGCGCCACCCAGCCTTAGGTCCTCCCTCTATAGCCGTCCAAGGTCAGAGCCAGGATTGGTCTCTGACATTGCACCAAGAGCTGCTGTCCCCTCACACGGTGTCTGCATTCTTGCTGAGTGGGGGAGGCTGCCCTGCGTCCCCATTCGGGACAAGCCAGCAATCACCCGCCCA